AAGATTGGCCAGTGTTACAAATATATTTGTAAAATAAAAATTGTAAGAGAAATTCTGTGGGAGTATGTGTGCATATACTTCTGTGTGTGTGTTATACGCGAATCACAGTACTTTTAATAAAATCTGTAGTAATGAATAAAGTTATAATCTTTTTTATGGTAGCTTAAAGCTCATAATCCAAGAGAACTCTTTGTAAGTTGGAAACGATTATATTATAAATGACAATCGCTTTTATGGTGTACAGATAAATTACCGTCGTCGCTTGCATTCATTGAATTCATGCGACATAAGGAAAGATGGAAGAATGTTATAAGGGAACTCAATTTAAAGATGGAGATAAGTATGGTAGATAAAATTGGTTTTTTCTTTTCAACTGAAACTCTCAATTGTGTCGAATTTTAATCAGGAATTTTCTGTTCAAATTTTGTATTATATACCTTCGTCTAATCACGCGTGGAAGTATACTTTAATACTTATAAAATCTTGCTTCGTATTTCAGTCATAAAATGTATTTATTTATTTTATCATTAATTTATTTGGAAATACAAGAAGATTCTAAATAACATTAGAATGGTTTCTTAGTAAAATGTAAAATAATTTTGAGGTTTAGAGTAAAGTTATGTATCGGTAAACAGAACAAACGAAATCTCTATACGAAAAACGAAATTATTTTCAGAACAATCTTATAATATTTATTTAAATTATTAAATATTTATCATATAATATTAATATACCGTAAATTGTAAATAAAATATAATTTGTTGAATTAGAAAAATTTCCGAGAAAATTAAGTTACACGAGATTAAGGATAAGGATATCTGAAAATTTTCGCAAACACTCTCGAAAGCCGAGTTCCAAGTCCTCGAAACTTTTCCAATTCGGTCAAACGACGCGTAAGAAAAATAGAAAAGCAGGGAGAGTCAAAAAAAAAAAAAAGGGAAAGAAAAAAGAAATAAGTAAACCCACCTAAGTAAGTCGAGAAAAAATAAATAAATAAGAAGAAGAAAAAAAAACAAAATAAAGGAAAAAAAAATATCGATTTGAAAGGGGGAATATGGTACGAGGTTTTCGATATAAAGGTTTCGAAGGTCCTATTTATTTATTTCTTTTCTCTTTTACAATACATTTTTTCTTCTCTCTACGAAGAAAATGGTTCCTCTAGAAGAAACGAGAACTTGGAATCGTATATCGATTCATACAACTACTCTAACACCATTGAACCAACCAACGAACGAAGAAATGAAGGAACGAAGGAAGGAACGCGTTCGTGAATCGATACGATGCAAATGCAGTTCTTACTAGTATTACGAGAGAGAGAGAGAGAGAGAAAGGACGACTTCTTTGAATGCACTTCGCGCCGTTTCTAACACCAACACTGCGAAAACTTGAAGCAAGAAAAATAAGCTCTGGAATTGCGGTCGTTATTACGCGACGGAAAAATTTACGAGCTACACGATGCGCATCGAGTACTCCACGCGACACTACAAATTCGTCAACTAAAAAATACCTTCTTCTCGAGTTACAAACAAATTTTTCGCAACATTATAAAATATGTTTCTACTAAATGATCTATAAATTCACTAAAATATTCGATTGAAGGTTTGTGTTGATTTAAACAAACAATTAATTGTAAGTTCAAAGACAACACTTTTTTATCAAAACCGTTCATTCCGATAGACGCATATCGACTCCCCATTGCGACTGATACATTTTGATCTCCTAGTATGCCTACCACATTTCCACTGTTTATTTCGACTGCCTTTATATTTATATTTTTATATTATTTTTCTATACGCGTATATTTAAATACGGTGTTTCGTGTTTAGAAGGTAGCTGACGTAACCGATAAATGTTTACAATGAACTTTATCGTCCTTCTACGATAGTATCGACGAAGGATAGAGGAAACAGGAGAGTTGGGGTGGCAATTTAGGGTATTGCCACCTAACTCAATATTGGTGGTAGTCGCCATAGGTTTAATAGGGTGTTCCACGAATGAAGATTCGCAGGTGGAAGTATTTCACTATCGGTTCTCGGACGAACTATGTACGTTGAGAGAGAGAGAGAGAGAGAGAGAGAGACCGCGTAGGTGGTTTATGGAACGGAAAAGGAAAAGGGAACACCACTGATGTTGTATGTGACGTTATAGAAGGGCAAAGCTACGTGCGGTTGATTGGCGAATCAAGCGTATATCGATTATGTTATGGATATTGCGCTTCAGGCAGCCAGCCTCCAAGTTTCTCTATTGTGTCCAAAAGGATGGAAGCTTCGGATGAAATTTGTTAATTGATTTATCATCTTTTCAAACTATTACTTATTAAACAATAGAATAATAAAATTCGTATAATCACTTAGATTATACGAAATATTCACGTTCTTTAATACTTTATTTCGAAATAAATTCATTATTATTTGCAGCATTGTGTACTCATATACTTGAAATTGATATTTGTGCTTATAATTATGAAAGTGCTCTAAGTCAAATATCTCTTGTTTCTAAATAATCCAGGATTATATTTGAACACTAAATGAATTCCATTTAATATTAAAATAACAAACACTAACTACTACACTAACGATTCATTTTTCAAAATATCGTATAAAATTTTCATCACGAGTCAGACTCGTGAAAATAGTGCAAGGGGTTTTAATGGCGTTTCTCTTTTTAATTATCTCACTTCTCGTTCTCTCTTTTTTTTTTCTTGTTCTCGAATAATTAAAAGAATATACCTAATTTTGATGAAAAATTGTAATTGAAGAATTTCGTCCAATGTGGTTTCCAACTGAACGGCGCTAACTTCATTCAAGTAAGTGAACGAGTTAACTGTAGGCACTACCGACCAAAGGATGTGTTGACAAATCGCAAACAAGACGAAACTCACGTTCCAAATTACAGTGTGCCGTAGATAGGTAGGCAGGATCTGTTAAGGATCGCCTTGACTAAACGACGATACGAGCAAGCCAATCAAACGACGTTTAATTGGATCGTAAATGGCCGTCAAACTTTCAATGACGAAATCGTTTAGAATACAACCAAAAAATATCTAATTATTTCCTCATTTTATTTGTAATTTCATGATTAGATTTTTACTTACGTTAAACAAGTTTAATATCATCTTTTGTTCATTTCGTTTTAATAATTTATTATTAAATTGACGTTAAACTTTAAACGACATAAATTTAACTATTTTTTTTTTTTTTATAAAATTTTTAATCTATTAATTAAAATATTACTCAAATTGTTTGTAAATTATTGTATTATCTATTTATACTTATTATTTTGGATTTGATATTAAATAGAATCCATTTTTCTTATCACGTTTGTGCTATAACGTGTCATATATATCACAAAACAGTTTCCTTCTGGTCCACGTTCGTATCCACAATCAAAATATCTCTTCTGTAATCTATGAAATGATTGATTATGGACGTATCGGGGATTATGCAAATCTCTGCTCTGTATCATCAAACTCGAGGAATATGAAAAAGAACAGGGAATATTTTACCAGCTGCTACATGTCAATTCCAGAAATTGATCATTATAATCTTACTTGCTCGATTGTATCGCAACAACGACGAGACACAAAAGACAAAAAGATGAAAAGAAGAGAAAAACAATTTGACATATCAGACAACTAAAGCCATTCGTTTAATATACTCGAGAATTATTTTTCTTATGTATTTTTTATCAAAATAATTTCTAAAATACTTTTCATCAATTTTATCGAATTTGTTGTCGTCTAACAACGATAACGTCGTTCAAGGATGGATCGTTCCAAAAGAAAAAACTAAAATACGTGTTACTGTGAAAATGTTTATTTGTAACTTTCTCATTACAACATAGCTCATACCCTACTTGATTAATGAAAAGAAAAATGTAGGAGAAGGTTTGGACCTTTCTTATGCGAAACAAAAGAAAACGATAATCGCCCAATTACAATGCACCACGACAATCCAGTCCTCCTGTAGGTATCCTTAAAAGGACCGTAGCGGGATTTTATTTACAACAGAATTATTTTATTCAATTGAATTTTTTTCAAAATTGTGAAAAACAACAAATAAAAAATTATTGAACAATAAAGAAATGCTTCGAGATATTCGATGAGGACAATCTCGAGGTTTAACTGGCCAACTAATAATTAAAATAGTTTCCGTGTAACTTGCTCGCGGACTTGCGAAGAAGTTTTCGTGAAACGAGGAAACAGAAAGAGAGAGAGAGAGAGAGAAAAAAAAAGAGTTTCCTATTAATGAGTCCTCTTTTTCTTATAATTTCATTTTATCTTCCCCGAGACGCGACTCGATAATCTTGCCGACTTGAAATTTCTTCCATTAACCAACCCTCGTCCCCCTCCGCATCCCACTATACCATCTTTTTCTCTTCTTCTTATTTTCTCAATAGATACTTGACCGATATTATGAAGAATTAATAAGATTGGTTTATATATATATATATATATATATATATATTGAGATTATTTATGAGCAGTTAAATATTAAAAAAAAATAAGATATAAATTAGAAATCAAATTATTAATATTTGCAATTTTGTCACTCTCTTAAATGTATTTATTAATAATTATTATAGATATTTTTGTGAAAGAAATAGAAACAAAATATAAAATGGAAATAATATATATATACTAGGGGTGCCCCGCCACGCATTGCTGTGGCTTACAATCAGTCTGATACACACGTCTTTAAGTCAACGAATTACTTTATACCACCATCTGTTAGAATCTTATCGAACAAACAGAGATACTCATGACTCTTTGTTAATAAACAATCTTATCTTTCAAGTTAGATGAAACTGCACACAGTGTGCCAAATTTGATTAAAATCGGTTCAGTAATTTAAAAGTCCATTGCGGACAAACAACGTGACACGTAATTTATATATATTAAGATAAATACTTTCCTATTCTATTGATTAAATTGAATTAATTAAACATTAACATAAGATTTAAATACATTTAATTAATTTTATTTGTTATTTTTTGTTTAGCTCAAGCACAACTAAGTAAACAAAGCATTTTGCAATTTCGAACACTTCACGTTGGTGGTTATCTACACGCCGGTGAAGACATCGCTCATTTTGTTGGACAGCTTCAACAAATCTGGTTCAATGGTTACCCCTATTTGGAGATAGCCAGAAGTGCAGGTAGCCATCAAATTTCTCATCAGGGTGTGACACCAATCATCAGAGTAACCGGAAAATTTGGCAAGAGAAATCATCCTGTACATCGTCCTGTGACCTTCACCTCAAAGCATACGTATGTTGGACTACCAGTATTGAAGGCCTACGTAGAGACCAACATCTATTTTCAGGTTTGTAAATAATTCATTTATTCTTTTAATTAAAGAAATAAAAAAAAAACCAGATGAAATAGAAATTAAATTTTCTATGATGTACCTTATCATAATTCAGTTTTTTTTCAGAAATTATTTTATATAGCTTTATAGATTTCTACTCATAATTTTTCAATCCTCTTCAAGGCTTAACATTTTTTCTATCAACTCGTATACATATTTTCTATTATTTGTTTCTTTTAAATTATACAAAATTTATTTTTTCATCTAACATGAAACTAACTGATATATAAAAATGCATGTGAAATTTTTCTTTTTTTTTGTTTTCTTAGAAAAAGTAAACTATTATGTAAAATTTAAAAAAAAATCGATGTTCAATCAACTTAGCTTATTTCTTTTCAAAGATTTTAACTCTTTTTCAAATATTTAAAGTTTAATAATATATGTTATTTTTAAGAAGAAAATGATATCTCAAAATTTGAATATATTTTTTTATTATCGTACTTTCGAAGCTTCAAGAAAGTTTCTTCTTTCGTCGAAGAGTTTCATAAATTTACGTATGCACAAAACATGTGTATAGATATCTACTAACAGATATGAAAGCCTTGTACTGTGTCTATCATTACGAAACGAATATATGCAAATATAAACACATACACACACGAATATACGAGTATCTACGTTTTTCATTGTACCAAAGATGATATATCGATGATTCATGTAGTTCCGATAAAAAGATGAGAGCAATGGTTATTCAGGTAAAAGCTTCAACCACATCCAAGAGAGATAAAAAAAACTAGGATAGTTCTAAAAAGGGAACTTCCATTCCTCTTGTAAGAGCCTATATCTGCTTATATTTTCTCTCTCTCTCTCTCTTTCCATCTTACAAAGTGTATGCATGACGTATCACGCGATGGTTCGCATAAGCGAAATAAACTGAAGGTTCCGACACTAAAAAAAGTAGCAATCTTTGGAGATTTATACGGATTCATCCCTATTCATATATATGACACACTAATAATAGCAAAACGCTATTTGTAACATGAAATATTCAGTTTGCGTTAAACCTAAATTACAGACAATTTCAAAAAGTTGAATTACAATTCATTCTTTACACGAAATATTGCATTGATATTAAATTTAAACTATGAACAATTTAAAAAAGTTTTATTCAAATTTTTATGTGTATTCGGTATTATCAATATTTTCTTCTTTTAATTATAAATATTATAATATTATTGTTTAAAAATATTCATTACAATTCAAGCCAATAAAAAATTAATTATAGTTTATAAAAAGAATAACTTTAGAGATCAAAATTATTTTTTTACAATAAAATATTTGTCTATTGTTTAACTTAATTTTGCACAAAATGATATGAAATAATACTAACTATCGATAAAAAGTTAATAATAATGTGAAAAATGAAATTTTTGGAATAGTACACAATTATTTTATAAAACATAGGAACAAGCACAAAGAAAAAACAAACATTGATAGATTATAGTTAAACTTGTTTCTGAAATGAATATTTAAACAATATTTATAGATAATTTCACACGTTTCGACATATTTTCAAAGAACTCGTTTACTTTTCATCGCCTTTGGAGTTTGTTTGAAAATAAGAGAGAAATATTCTCGAAGGTCAGAAGTGAAGCTATATATGAGTATGAGAGAATTTTGTAAAAATAAGAAAAAAAAACTTAGGACAGAGAGATAGACAGAGAGAAAGGGAAAAAGGGATAAGCTTATTCCTTTGACGGGATAAAACGGCTTCGAAACGACGGTCGATCCTTTGAAGCAGCATGCTCTGTGAGCTATCGAAGAAAGTACTTACTCGAATGCACGAGAAGAGTGTACGTGAACACTCGAGAGCTCGTCACTAACGATCGATTCGAAAGAAAAGAGAAAAAGAAACTTTCCTCTGTTAAAAGAAATAGAATACATACATGTAATATAAATATAGGGTGCCCAAAAGTGTTCCTTTAACAAAATTACAAAATTTCAAATACTTGTCTTCACCAAATTTTCAAAGTACAAACATCGGAGGCTTTAACTTTTTACCAACACTTAAATTGGAAAGAAGAAAACCAATCCAGGGGGTTCCTACTATCTGGATCGCTAAAGTGTTGGATTTTATTTTCAACAATTTCCATTGTATCCGAATTTTCTTGCTTATTTGCACACTTGCATTGGCAAACCATGTCTCTATCCGTTTCGACAGGTCGTTTCAACAAGTAAACCTCAAGTTCTGGTCTCGAATAACCGTGAATACTTCTCGAGTTTCGAATGGAATTAGCTTGATAGCCTTTAGTGGGACTATTGGCATCAACAAATTGCAAATCCTCGTTGTTGAACGATTCCTCAAATTCTATCTCAGGATTAACCGATGAAGATACTGTAGCAAAGATGGTCATCAAGAGCAGCGCAGTAATTAACATTATTTTACACATTTCGATTTCAATTTTTAAGACAAATTTTTTATTAAAAAGTTTCTTTTTCGTCTGAACAACAATTTAAACAATTTTAGAAATATTTCCTTGTTATAGAAATATACGAAATCAACGTAAATTTCAAACACCAATCGTTAATCAACGAATTTCACGTTGTTCATTGAACTATGTGTGCTTTTAAACTAAATTCTAGTACTCGCACCGTTGCTTTCATCTGCCAACCACTCTTCTCCTTCGAAGGTTAACCTTAATCAAATAATTTATTTGAACAATCATAGCATTCGATTTACTAGCAAATCGCTATGTAAATTGTTATATATTCAATTATACAAGATTTCATTAATCAAACAATAATCAATAAAAAAATAATCTTACTCCTGATTTATTTCTTATCCATGCAACACAAAATATACCGTATAAAACGATCGATTGTAAACCAAAACGAAACTCGAAATATACAATCATTTTAATATCATAAACATTTAATTGGATTAAACTTAATTGCTATATAATTTGTTTTTTAAATAAGAAATAAATAAGCTCTCTCGGTCATAAAAATAAAATACTTGAACCATTTAAATTGTTATTCAATTTTAAATTAATTTAATTAATTTATACTTAACACTGAACGAGATTACATTTTTATTTTATCTTTTAATGATAAAGGTAAATCAAATTTGTTATTCAAAAAATTGTTTTGAGATTTTGTTCGTATGTTGAAATGATTTTTTGTTACGTTACATTTTTAATTCTTACAGTTTAAAACACGAGAACCAAATGGATTGATCCTCTACAATGCTGGAAGAGAACGTGACTTTATAGCCGTCGAACTGGTGAACGAACATATTAATTATATCTTTGATTTGGGAGATGGCCCAGTAAGAATCAAGGACAATTCTAAAAGCAAATTGAATGATGGCAAATGGCATACGGTTAGCATCGGAAGACCTGCACCTAAAAGGCACACCTTAGCAGTAGACGATCACGTAACCGCTGCAAACAGCCAAGGTAGCAACGAGAATCTTGACCTTGATGGAATATTGTATATAGGTGAGTCGAAAACAATCATTGAGATTAAATTATTTAAGGAAAATCATTTATAAATAATTTAGGTTACGATGTAAAAGAAAAAAACTTTTACTTAACCAGTAATCCATTTTTAATTACAATACTGCATTTAATGTTCCATTGTTTTTCTTAATTTCGTACTTTGTTTATTACTGTAATTATAATTATAAGTATTGTTTAATTATTATTTAAAAATTATTTTAAAAATATGAGAGATCATTGATCGTTTCGATTTTTATCGATTTCATATCGATGTATCCTTTTATTTCTGCATTTTTTTGTTATTTTTTTGTTTTTGTTTTATATCCCTCTACAACTTTTTCTCGCGAAAACGACTGATTTTTATAACTAAAAAAACATAATAGGTATTGTATATGACGTATGCATACAGGTACGTGCTAACGAGGCTCGTTAATTAAAATTGTATTTTATTCATCGTATGTTAGTAACGACAATTAACCGATAACTTTTTAACGAATAACATTGAACGTCATGCGCACACAACAAAATAAATCAAGCAAGTCAAAAACAGACGAGTTCCAAATTCTTTACGAATATAGATTTATCAAACTGAGGAATAAGTTTCTTCGTAATATTTAAGGGGGTATTTTGGTCGAGAAGCCTAAATTTTAGGCATTTTTAAAACTAAGATAAAAAGAAAATGAAAAATATTATTATATTATATAATATATATAATTAATTATTAATAAATTGTTAATCATGGTAAAACGGGGTAAAAAGATTTATACAAATAATTGTTTTGTATATCATTTATTTCAAATTAACAAACACCAGAGACTCGCAATCGAAATGTAAAAGAAAAACCAAAAATTTTCATGAAGATACCTCTAACTCCTTCACATTTGTCGATCATCTATCAGTTTCTACAAATGGAAAAATAAACAAAAGATAAATATAAGGAACCTTTTTTGACATGCCTTTTTTTCATTCTTAATTATTCGTACTTTAATCGATATCGATTTTGAAAATTCAAAGACCAAAAATTCGAAGACCAAAGAAGAAACAAGGAGCTTTAGATATTTAATATAAACAAATTCTCTTTCTCTCTCATTTTCCTTTTCCTGTCTGGCTCTTTAATGTTTATCAGCCAGACGGGTTTCTAATCGGTCTCGACAGAATCCTGTAAACTACGTGACTACGGCGTTAATCTGCGTAATCGAATAAAAGAGCCGTTGATCCATGATCGAATAATTTCTCATAGATACACGTTTTGTTTCGATCACAAAAAGCACGTTCTTCGAGAAAGAAAAATAGACATGTTCTAATATTATTCAAATAAGTACAGGTAGCCAGCCCCCTATATTATGTGAAAGATGATCAAAATTTTCTTAGTGTTCATATAAAATTCGAATTTTCGTTATTTTGTAAGAACTTTTTAATTATTTGTTTGATTTATTAAGAATTTTTGTAGAAAACAAATGATCGTAATATAGTAGGCTACTTGTAAGATTGGTTTCGATAAATAAATTAACAAGTTATATATACCTTTTACTGTATTACAACTCTACATTTTCCTAATCTGTCCCGTCTTTGTCCAGGAGGACAAGGCATTTTTGAAAGTCCGCCAAATAAGGTTGGCGAGGGATCATTATAGTTTAAATCATCATTCTCGAAAATTCTAATTGGTGTGGAACTTTCTCTTTGCTTATTATTACCACACTTGCATTCGCAAACCATGTCATCATTTGTTTCCGTTAGACCAAACAATTTATTCTTATTTTCCGAAAATCCATTTTCGTTGGAGCTTCTCTTTAACAAGTAGAGTTCAAGTTCCGGTCGGAGTATTTTGTCGTTCAAGCTTCTAAGTTTATGAATTAAATTGTACAGATAGGAATCGTCGATATTTGAGTCATGGGAAATTAACGGATTTTCGTTTCTCGATGATATCTCGAATTTGATACCATGGTCAGCCGACGATGACACCATTACAATAAGTATCGATAACAGTAAAGCTATTGGCAACATTGGTCTAGCCATTTCGATTTAAATTTATTCCAAAAAATACGTACTTTGAAAATATTTTTCTTTCAGTATTTGTTGTTTTTTTTTTTGTTGTTGTTCCACCGATCAATTCAACTTCTTTCGATCTGATCTTTTGAATAGCACGCGTAAACTAAATTTCACTAGACGCGCTCTTGTTTTTATTTGATAGCCATTCTTCATCCTCGAAGGTTACTTTAATCAATTTTCTAAGCTAAAGCAGGAACAATCGGAAATAATTAATTTCTAAATCGTAATATTTGATTTACGATCGTACGGATATCAGTAATCGTTTAAGTTTATTACACTAAATTTAATTGCTCGTGCAAATATTCAATAAAAATTTAAATCTTGAAATTCATTTATTTTTTAACTTAGCAACAGTGTAAAATGATAAATTTAATACTAAAACAAATTGAAATGAATATCCACGTTAACAATCTGCCTTAAAAGTTATAAATTCTTATTCTTATAAATAAAATACTTTAAATTGCTAAATAAAACGTCACATTTCTTTTCGATAATTAATGTTTCCTTTCTTTTACAGGTGGAGTCGACAAAATAATATACAATCAACTACCAAAACCAATACTTAGCCGGCATGGATTCGAAGGTTGTTTGGCATCATTGGATCTTAGCGGTGAAAGTACAGATTTACTTTCTGATGCCATTGTACAAAGTTCTCTCGTCGAACCCGGATGTGACGTATACGCGAATCTTCACGCTGGAAAAAAATGCACTCACGATGTATGCGCAAATCATGGAACATGTTTGCAACAAAGGAACAGTTATACATGCGATTGCGATATGACCAGCTTTTCTGGACCTACTTGTAGCGAAGGTAGAAAGAAAACGAAAAGAACAAAAATTGATTAATACCAGAACTACCAATAATTAATCAAAATGACTTATTATTTTTATAAAAATGCAAGGTGTTTCATGAAATATAGGCCCTACTTCATAACTATGCAAAAAGTGGCAAAAAAAAAATAAAAAATAGTCGTACAAACACGTGTCTTATTTGACCGTGTTTCAAAGTTTTAGCTACTTTTAGGTTCCAATAATCCTCAAAAGAAAATCTTCACAGAAAGTACTCAAAATGATCACCCTCGGTTTGGATTTCTAAACAATGCTCAGTATCTTGCAAATATTTCTTGTTCACATTGATATTACATATTCTGTTAATTAAATTTATTCCTAACAGTTTTACTGCTCGGTCCTCTTATCAGTAGTACTTCATTATTTTCTATGTGTTGTGTATTTAAAATTACAAGTGCGTAATTAGATGTTTATTTGTAGAAATCATTTGAAAACAATTAAATATTTGGCACCCATTTGGCACCCCAACATTGAAGAACTTTGAGCTTGTATGTAAAAAGGCTGCCAACAGATTTAACGCATACCTGAAATTTTGTAAAGACAACGAAATTCGATGATATAATTGCAAACTTGAATAGAAACCGAGGATGATCATTCAAAATGTATTCTATGGAGATAAACTGTAGCGGATTATTCAAATACAAATTTTTGTTCATTGCTTTTTGTATCCTCTGTCCATTTCAAAAATTGGTCCTACAATTATGAAACACTTTATACATGTTTATACAAAAAAATAACAATTATAATAACAATTAGGATTTTAATTGTAATTGGTATTGAAAATGTTAATATTTAATTTTATTCTAAATATTTTTGTTCTATTTATATAATCGAAATTAATTGAGAATAGGAATATTGATCGTTTCCGAAGACCGACTGACGATACGTTATCTTTGCAGAGGCTGTGGCATATGAATTTGGAGCAGGAAGAGGAATCATCACATATACATTTCCATTCGATGAAAGACCGGAAATGAAACAAGACACCGTCGCTTTTGGATTTGTAACGGGAATGAACGACGCGGTTCTACTTAGGATAGAATCTGCTTCTAGCAATGATTATCTAGAAATTGAAATTGTTAGTACCACGTCGATAAGAGAGATTTCCACTTTTACTCTTATCATTTGATTCCCTTCTTCTCCTTTACATTTTTACTATCTTCCAATATTTTATTTTCTAAACAATAAATTTTATTTATTTCATAATTTATATTGAAAATTATATTCATAAATTATAAAAAAAAAAAAATACAAGATTTGTGTAAATTTGAATATTTGAAAAAATATTCAATGTTTATTTCACAATCCATTGGATATTTAAGATCATAAATAGTACATGAAATATTTTATTATCTAAACGATATTTTTTATAATTTATCAGAAAAAATTCACATAAATTTCATATGTTCAGAATTAATGAAAAAGATAATAACTTACTTTGAATTAGTAAACAAAAAATATTTTCAATAACTTTAACATAATTGCTGAAAAAAGATATTTGTAATTATTTGAATAAGTATAAACGTATTATTTTGATATCATTTTGATATAACTCATCGTTTATCATGTAGGTTGAAGGAAACGTATTTGCCGTTTATAACATGGGTACGAACGATCATCCAGTTGGAGAAGTGGGTGTCAAAGTGAACGACAATCAATACCACGTCGTTAGATTCACAAGAAGTGGAGCGAACAGCACATTGCAAGTTGACGATTACAATCTTCAATCGAATCATCCGTCCGGTAAGTGTCACTTGTCCACGTTTCACACTTCATAATAACCAAGTTTCTCGGAAGAAACAATACATTATAAGTTAGAAATCTATATCGAAGGACAAGATAAAGGTTTACATTTTACCGATAAATCACCGGTTATTATTTTCTAATATAAGAAACCAAATGTGTGTAAACAATAATGTTCGCTAGAAATCAACATTCTGATGAAAGATAAATAAAATGCAGAAAATAAATTTATTTCAATAAAGTTAAGATTAAAAAGTACAGATAAAATAAATAAAATTTTGTTAAATTGAAAAAAAGGTAGAAAGTGATAGAGCGTACGTTTGAGATGAGACAGGAAAGACAACTACCTTGGAAAGGGCTCCGACCGTTCTTTTATAAACTTCCTCCTGTCGACCAGACCTTGAACCATGTGAAAGGACCGCCATTGGTTGTGTAGTATAATGCTGAGACATTCCCAGGTCAAAGAGAGTTGAAGAGAAGGGGACATTTTTTCTAGTAGTTTTATAATACTCAAAAGATCCCAAAATCTTCTACCTCTAGGTCCTTTCTAATATCCTGGCATGTTTGGCCAACCTAATTGGGTTATAGATTTTTATTTAGATTAATCGAAATTTTGTCGACAATCTTTTTCACGTATTTAACAACGGTTTTCTCTAATCTTCATTTTGAAGTAGTTTTTTGTTTTTATTTCTTACTGTAATATAAAATGATATTAAAAAGTTCATCCATTTCTATCTTTTTTATTATTTGAATTGATAATTATGACAGTAAACTAAATTAAACAATTTAAGAAATATTAATTTTATGATAGAATTATTTGCAATATAAAATTAATTATAAAATAAAATTGATATAATTTTTTCACTCAGTTCTCTGTCGTCATTACCAGTAAAAATATGAAAAAAAAAGATATTAAATAATAAACAGAATAGCATGGAATTTCATTTTCAAGGACGCTCCTAAATAAAACGAACGATAAAAGAGCAAAAGATGAAACTAAAGTAAAGGTCGAAGACATTCACCAAGGAGAGAAATACTTTCGCATCTTATAGCATCCTGATGAGTTTCACCATAGAAGTGAAAGGGTTTGAAATTTCGTTCCTTCTAAGGTCACGTAGAGAAACGAAAAGACGTTTCATTCCTTTTATAACTAACCACGATTTTCTAAGTTCCTATTACCATCGAAGACACTAATCCGCATCATTAGGTTCGATCATTGTGTCCAAACAGGGACCAGTGAACTAACTCGATTGAGTTTATTTATGCACAATAGTTGATTGATGCACCTAATGAATGAAGAAACAGGTATTTAATATAAACATCGTTCATTGAACTCATTCGAACTCTTTTGTGCCGATATAAAGGCCAAGTCTCGTGAAAGGATTCCATGGGAATTCGAACTAACGTTCAAGCAAACTAACTTCCTTGGCTGGCATGAAACCTTGATAAATATTCTCGAGCCCTATGGTGTTTCTCGAACTCGTTCCCATATAAGGAAGAAAATAACCAACCGACTGACTATTCAAACGAGAGAGTTCTGAACTCTTCTCGATTGAAATAAATAAATAAAAAAAAAAAAATGATAAAAATAAAATTTAACAAATAAATAAATAAATGAATAAAAGTATAGCTCGCGTGATAATAATCGATTCCGTTATCCCTTTCTATAAACAAATGTATATAGAAGTTAAATTATTTTCCCTGATCGTTAAATTTATCGCGTTCGTTGCTCCGACACGATTTTTATTGCCGACTCTTGCTCCCCCCATCAATCTCTCGAGTAACGTTTCTCATAACGAGAAGAGAAAGAGAAAAAGAGAAAAAAATATATACACGGTTGAACCTTTCGAATTAGTTCGATCCTATCAAAGTTAATTTAATAATTTAATTTAAAAAATAAAGCACACAATTTAATTGATTTCGTATACATCGTGCTAACTCCATTGTTAGTTTGATGATTCGATCATCATCAATAAAAATTACGTACGCGTATAAACATCGTAAAAAATCGTAAAGTCAAACTATAAATTATACTTTTTTCTTTGATGGTCAGAATGAAATCAAAATTATATACGTACATGCATATATGTGTACATACATATCTCAATGAAAATTATTTTACCATATTCGAGAATCCTAAAATGTTTAGAATAAAAAGAGAAAGTAAATTACCGATCGTTTAGTTCGTTGTAATAAAATAATACAAATTAATCGTTTTTAATAAAAACAAATCTCAAGAAAATGGACAAAAATTTACAAAACGTTTTGAAAATCAATCTTAACTTCGTCGAAATAACCAAACCTCTTGCTTTTCTGTACTGCCTCGCATATTCTTGGCATCCTGGCATCCAACTTCTACAATTTCGTTTGTTTTTTTAAATAAATAAAAATAAATTCTAGAGACGTGATCAATAATAATATAGAATCGATGCATTAAAAATACATTTTACCTATAAATGATATTCTTTTAGTGTATACATATGTATATGTAGGGAAATGTAATAAAGCGTGGAAAACGAAATAATTAATCGATCTTCGATTGATTTTATAATTATCATTTTCCATTTCAACTCGTGCGAGATGTAATAAAGATTAAAATGCGTAGCTCAATATGAATTACACATAGGCCATTACAAATACATAGAAGGAAAAAGACAGAGAAATAGATATATGTTCATTTATACGTATATGTCATCTCTGTATAGAAATGGAGTTCATTTCCCTCGCCAATATTGTAAAATGTATTTGTGTTAGATTAGTTATCAAAATATCAATTTCATATAATCTAATTTCAATAGAAATATCACGATATTTTTAATAAGATGATATTTACTTTCATTTCGTTAAATAAATGATTTATTTCCCATGATGAATAATAATTATTATTGAAACATTCACTAGTATTAATATTGAACATTAATAAATTTTTAATTGTCAGCAATGATTAATATTTAAAAACGTTTCATTCAAAAAATGTTCAATTAATAAATGATTAATTTTACAGAATGATTCAAAAGTCATGAAACTCGTACTGTAAATTATTAATTATAGAATAAATTTATTTAAAAAAAAAAATCAGTTTCTATTTACAAATCTGATCTACTATAAATAAATGCTGAAAATATCCTAAAAATGAAATCATTTTGGAAAACACCGAAGTATCTTTTGACAGGTTTGAATATCGAATATTATTCATTCAAAGAAAATATCGCCGATCAGGTAATAAAACTTTCTTATTTCCTTAGAATCTAGTAGAGAAGTTCTTACTCCAAAACGGAAAAAGAGAAAGAAAAAAAAAAGAAAGGAAGGAAAAAAGGAGAATAAGAGTGAACGTCTTGAAAAGCTACGTTCCAATGAAAATTATCGTCGTTTCAGCAATAAACTTACACTCGTACCCAAGATTTTCTTGATAATTAGTCAAGAAAGTAGAACGAGCCTTGAACGTTCTTACCTCGGTTGAATTTATCGTTTCCCGTTATACTTGAATTTATTGTACAATTTATCATGAGCCTCCGTGGAAAATAGATTCAACATTACCTATACCCTAGCCAATCTCATGACGCGTAGATAATTTTATCGAAATTCTACCACGAATTCGAAGGAGAATTATCGACCTGTATACTAATGCACAAATAAGGGGTGTTACGTTTGATACAATGTTCTCACATGAATTAAAGAACGGGTTTATGTTATGTTACATGATCTATTGATCATTTTGTTCTTTCCCGACATTAATTTCAGCAAATTGAAATAAAAATGATTAAATGAGATGACTTACATAAACTGAAAATCTAATTTTTGTCATAGCATACTTTATAACTCTCAATCAGCATCGTTAAAAAGACGAATAGCAGTGGAAGCCACTTTTCAAAGTTGCCATAATTTAATGCAATAATATGAAGAGGTCCATTGTTAAAAAGATAAAGTCTTTACAGAGAGTCGCTATCATTTAAAATCTTTTATTTCCTGTTCCTTTTTTTTTTTTTTCTTTATTTAAATCCGTAATAATACGCTTGAGTTATACGTTTCAACGCTTTATCGGGATTAAGGAAAGTAACAAAAAAAAAAGAAAATAAAAAGAAAGAAGAAGAATAAATCTAAGGAAAGAAAGAAAGAGAGAAAAAGAAATAGAATGCTAAAGAAAAAGTATGAAGAGAAGAAAAGAGAAGAGAAAAGAAGAGAAAATAAGAGGAGGGCATAGGGTGAATCTGATTTGATTTAATTAGAATAAATTTGCCTGCATAAAAAGTATGATGATGAGGATATGCTCCACGCGAGGTATATCAGCCTGGTAGCTAAATTTAGCGAATTATGCGTAGCTCATCGTCGTGGGATTTAAAAGAGACTCATTCCCCATAAAGCAATAACGAAGGGTAAGCTTTTGCTCGGATAGAAAATGGCGGTTTAATCTTTCCTTTAAACAGATAGAGAACAAGAGAGTAAGAGAGAAAGAAAGAAAAATGGTGGACGAGTATTTCCGCCATGATGAGAGGCGTGACACTTATGGCAAACCTGCATACAATTTGGTGGGTCCACCATGAATTCCAAAGTAACCGATGGGAGAGACTTGTACACCCTCGTTTCTTATGTTCCCCTTATCCCTAAGTGGTCCTACCTTAGACTTTAGCCCTTAACCTTAACGAATCGTGTTACACTAATTAACGCCTCTAATCACTTAATTACTTTACCAATTGAATATCATTCGACCACCAACAACCATACCACGTTTTAACTGTTTTATTTTTCTCTTTCTCATTCTACAGCTTTCTTTACCATTCCTTTGGTAAGAGAAGGGAGAAATACCATCGTGGGTTGCCTTACCACACCACACCACTACCATCACCATGGTGTTGGTGGTAGAATCCTTCCTCCTTGCCTTATGTTTCTCTGATATACTAAGCCACAAGGCTTTTGTTTCTTTCCTGACCTTATTCAACTTACAATTCCATACCAAAAGTTGAACCTAATTTTGATATATCATTTTCGTGATATTTTTGGAT